TATATCTACTAACAAATAAATTAAAAACGATAGGGGTATTCACACAGTCAAAGTGCAGTGCAGTATTATTTCAAATTTTCCGTGAAAATAATCATAAAAGCTGCCAAATTTATTAAAAAAAAAATTATTTAAAAATAAAGAAATTTTTATAAAATAAAAAAATGCGCCTAATAAAGAAACAAAAAATTATTTTTCAGACAAACGATATTGCCAAGCTCACTGCATACAACAAGAAAAATACACTGTGAATATCCCTAAAAAAAATTTAACAGTCTTTGTGCTTACTCTCACTAAGTTGTAGCACTTACATACATATGGACATTTTTTTAATATACTTCTCCGACTTAAGATATATTGTGTTCAGTCAAACGTGTAGTACACATAACATACGAGTGTATTTAAAAAACCCGCTAAAAACAACTAAAGTGTTCACAATTCTCTGCATAACGGCGAAACTGCCATACAAACACACACGCATTAAGCTAGCAAAAATCCAATAAAAGGAAATAATCGAAAATTCCCTATACAGATATTTAACTCGAAGTGAGAATTTAGAAAGCTCATGAGATTTTGTTGCTACAAAACTTGTGGCACTGCATAAAATTGTTGTTGTTGTTATGTATATTACGTGAAGTTACAATCAATTGATTTTGTTTATCCCTGCCCAAAAATGCATAACTCGGCAGAATGGCAAGCGATTAGTGTTCACTAATTAATCAAACCACTTTAAACTCAACAAATCACGATGATTGTGAAGCACTTAAATGGATGAATAAAAACCACTCAATTCGAAGAAGCTTCAAACAAACAAAATAAACAAAAGAGTATGAAAACCGTATGATAATTGTTTTCAAATAAATATTGTATGACACATTAAATAAGAAAAAGAGAGAGAGTGGGAATGAGAGAGATGGAGAAAGGAAGGTAGAGAAGAGAGAGAAGGAAGGAAGGACGGAAGGAGAGGGAAGGAAGGAGAGAGAAAGAAAGAGAGAGCGAAGGGTAAAGAAATATAAGGATAGAAATAGGAGAACAATAGAAAGAGAAGGAGTGAGAAGGAGAAACAGAGTGAAGGAGAAAGAGAGAGAAGGAGAAAGAGAGAGAAGGAGAAAGAGAGAGAGAAGAAGGAAGAGAGTGAAGGAGAAAGAGAGAGGAGACAGAGAGAGAAAGAGAAAAAGAGAAAAAGGAAAGTAAAAAGGGAGAGAAAGAGAAGGAGAGATAGAGGAGAGAGAGAGCGAAGTAGAGAAATAGAAGGAGAAAAAATATGAGTATTAAAATAGTAGGAGAAAGAGAGAGAGAGAGAGAGAAGGATAGAAACAGATGGTGAAAAGAGAAGTAGAGAAGGAAAGCGAAGAAGAGAGAGAAAGGAAAGGAAAGGAAAGGAAAGGAAAGAAAAAGAATAAGAGAGAAAAAAGGAAGGAGACAGAGAAAGGGAGAAAGAGAGAAAATAAAGAATAAAAAATAGACGCGAAAGAATGCACTTCACACTCACTCACTCTCACACTTACTGAGAACAAAATCAAACGAAGAGCGTAACTAAGCGCCACCAAAACCACCATTAAAAAATTGTATAAATTTTTTTTTACAACATTTCCTCTCAAAAACTTACAGGTATAAAATAAGTTTACTTTTTTTATTAGAACTTAGATCTATTAATTATTTACAATAACGAAAATATTTAACAGTCGAAAACGAATCTAGCATATACGTATGTATGTATGTACATACATTCCTACGTACTCATATATCTAATAAAGAAAGATAAAACTAGATAAATTTTTAATTAATTTAAGTACATTTTATGAACTTCTACCCACCCGTTAACGATTCAAGTGACCGTTTTTTTAACTATAAAAAAAAAATAAAACAAAAAAAAAAAAAAAAATTCTAAAATATAAAAGAAAGCTATAAAGCCGTTTAGTTAACTGTTATCAAATTTAAAATACACAAAATTTACTCAAAAAATAAAATAAAATAAAAAATAAAATAAAATAAATTTTAATAAATAAATAAAAATAATTTATTCTGAACTCAAATGAGCGCCGAAAGAAACAATACCTATCAATATTAATTATTGTTAATAAAACAAAAATTATGAAAAGTGATTTTTTTTAAGTAATGTCACCAGAACTGTAAAATATATGTAAAATTATGTTAAATTTCTAGAGCTTATTAAAAATCAAAAGATTTTTTCAATATCTACTTTGCCTCTCCCAACTGGAAATGCTTTAAATGTACGTTAAAATGCTAATAAAAGAATATATATTTGTTAAAATAAATTAATATGCAGAAGAAAAGATATTTATATATATTGTTACGAAAATGGGCATATCCAGTTACCCATAACCATAACCATAAACCAAAGTTAGTTGTATTTAAATGTCTATTATATTCATTGTTAGCATTGTGCAAAATTATCCAAAAATGAAATACAATTAAAGACAAGAAGTTAAGCAGCTAAACAGCTAAACAGCAAGTAGCGGTGAATTACTTAATTTGAAAAACAAAATGAAAAAATTAAAACAAAATCAATTGAATTTAAGCAAACCCCAAAAGTGGATTAAAACATTTTCAAATGGACAATCCCAGAGCGCAGATATTTTGGTACAAAGTGATTAAAAGTTAGAGGCCAAGAGAGAAGCACTACATAATATATAAGAAAGTAAAAAATAAAATAAGCGTTGAAAAGAAATGGAGGATTTTTAATCAAAACCAATTGAAAAGCAACAGAAAAATGTGTGTTGCTTGAAATATATTAAAGAGTATCATAAAAGAAATTCCATTTTTGTTTCCTCTTGATTGCAAACAAAAAAACCCAAAACAGACTGCAGCATTTAAGCGTAGCAATTGAAAAGTGGAAAGAGTGGAGAAATGCTGTAATTTGTTGAAAAAAGTTTCACTTAGAAGTAAAAGTAATTATAAATATCTGAAAATTGGCGTACGAAATTTTCATATTATTTAAATCGCATATTCGCAAATATTTTTTTAAATTCCATTCCACACTTTTGAGTAGAATTGAGTAAATGGTTTAAAATGCCCATAATTGACCGTTATGTATTGTTCGATGTTAAATGCTAAATACGACAAATGTGTGTAAAAATGCAAAAGAAAATTCTATATAAATAAAAGTATCGTAAAAAATTTTGAAAAACATGTATAAATCGTATTCGAAAATATTAAGTACGACGTATGGCTTGTTAATAATAAAGGCGGGTCAGCGAAATGTCTTTTAATTGGCGGGAAATGTTGCGTGTGCAAGGGCCTTACCACAGGGTTTTCTAAGAAGTAGTGCTATTTTTTTTAATTTTTAAAGAAAATGGGCCGTGACTTTTTATGAAATTTTTCATCACCAAATCACAAAGTGGCTGCTATATGCCCTCTATAGTTTCACGAATTAAAACTTTGTTGTCTTGAATCGACGTTGACCTGTTGGCGTAGATCTTATATTTCACGTAGCCTCAAAGCCACAATAATTTCGTAGCCAATTGCGATCACCTCTTCCCTGAAAAGATCGATATTTCGTTGCTTGTGTAGCACCAGACCGGGAACGACTTTAATGCTTTCTCCACTTCAACTTACGTTATTATTGGTGAAGGTATTTTCTGAAAAAATTGTCGTCACCGCTGCCGCTCGCTTCATCTACGCCAAGCCGAATACGGATCTCCGAATCAGGAAGAAACTCAATAAGGAGTTTCGAAACTCTTAAGTTTCTGCAACTTCATCTCTGGCGTACAGTCAAATCGTTTTTAATCCAACGAGATGAGATGACCGAATGGAAATTTCATATCAGACCCGAGAAAGTAAAACTGCTATTTTAGGCGGATTTTCATATTCCACCCTTCCGTTGACAAAATGAAGCGAGAGGGAAGAGGTTTAGAGGATCATGGTGAAGTCAAAAGCCTTTAAAAAGTAATAATACGCATGAATAGGCATACCGGCGCTAAATCATTTAGGTCCAGCGGATGCGAAATACTTCACTAAGGTACTCAATTTATTTTTTACCATTCTGAGTTTCCCCAATTTGTGGAAACTGCCCAGAGTGATGTCGCTGCAAGAAGCGAGCGGGGAAACCTGCCAACAAGGTTAACTCATATCGGCCGATATCTCTCCTTTTCCCAGTAGCGATAACAATTGACACCTTGCCGCTCTCAACTTTCACTCACCATCTACGCCAAGCAGCCAAAATATGCACAATACCACAACTACACTTAACGCCATAAACACCCAGACTATCGGACAAACCGCTGGGGTTGAAGAAGGGAACCATGTATCGGTCAAAAATTATCGATTCGCGGTCATACTTCAAAGCTCCGTACGGGTTCACACCGCATACAACTTTCATTGTCACCAAAGTATAGAATCCTTAATTTGCGAACCAGCAGCAGTTGGGGGAAAGATAAAGAAGTGTAGCTTGCAACGTACAAATTAATTGACCGTCTATAATATGAAACCTATTGATGTCACCTGTGCACCACTTACACTGTGACTCAAGCTGCTTCGCGCCCACTAAAACCCACTCAACTAACTCTCCTTCTTTATCTTATGACGAATATTCGGGACTCTCCGTTAAATAATGCTCCTTGGCGAGGTGGAGTCCACCGTGGATTATCATGTCCTTAGAGCAATAAATTTTATTAAATATTCAGTCGGAGCTATTATTTATGTAGGTATTGCATAGCTCAAGTGTTCTTACGTATTGTTGCGATGTTGTTCCTTGACTGAATGGCATTTAATTGGGTTACACGTTAGACCGAGACGACATGGTTTGAAACATTTCAGTAAAATAGTTTCCACACTTGATATCACATTTAAATTTCAAGAGAGTTTTGTGCACCTACTAATACCAGAGATTTTTCCTTCATTTCAAAAACATTTCGAACGAGCACTAATCATCAAAACTTTTTTAGGAAATTCGTTTAGATAAATTTAGATTTTAGGGTGAAACCTGTCTTAGAACTTCTTCTTCCTATGCTCATATATATGTACATATATCGCAAACTTACCTTATAATAAACATCTGGAACATATTGTTTATCAGACGACTCACGTACATAACCCAATTCGGGTGCATCTTTGGTGGGTATTAAACAATTATCACGCACCAAAGCCATACATTGAGCTGAAACAGCATAACCTTCTGTATGCACTTGCTTGTTATTATCACCTGGAGCAGATTAACGTAATAATATTGTAGTTAATAAGATTTTAAATGTTTGAAAATAAGTTTATATACCTGTTACACACACTGTGACAAATTTCGAACCAAAATAACCGCTAGAACCATATTTACATGGATTTGGATGACGATTTTGTAACTCGCCAGCTGTGATGCACTCTTGTGCAGTGAGAAAATGTGTTTCAATACCACGCAATTGTTTTACACTGCCAATAGCTGGATCGTCAGTTATGAGATCAGTGAAAATCCAACCAATCTATGCAGGACATTGAGTAAAAATATACATATATAAGAGAGCAATGTATGAGGCTGGAAAACCACTACATACTTTTTTCAAACCCAAAGCCTGAGCTAATTCATCCACCTCGGTACCTGCTTCATCGTCCAGCAATCTGATAGCGTCACGTGTTGATTCTTGCGGTGGCTCATAAATAGCTGCAACAGTTGCACGTATACCAAGCGGTACGTCGGCGTGCACTTCATAAGTGCCATACAGATAACCCATTCTCTGATGGGCTGTAGTACGCCAGTAGTCCAGAAAACGCTCAACAATAGTTGGATTCTCGAACATTATATTATCAACATGTCGATAAATTTGCCTATTTAAGGTTACAGCCGATGGCTGACATTTGGAACAGATACCTTTGGGCCATGGGGGATGTTCACGACAGCCTGGCTTTATGCGACAATTAATATCGTCGAAGGCTACATATTTGCCGCGATCAATGCCCGACTTTTGTTTGCGTATATACGAATGAAAAGATAAATGTTTAATTTTTTGTTCTTTCAAATAGTTATCATCGTACGGTTCCAATGGTGAGCAATGTACACAACGACCATTAGCATTGTGACGGCAACTGTAACAAACGGAAAAACTATAATGAATTTAATGTTTAGAAAATTTGTGCTAAATATAATTACAGTTTTGCATCACGTGGACGTTCAATTGAGCCATCCATTTTTGATAACGTTTGATCCACTTCATCCTCTACGACAGCTGCAGACGGTTGAAATTGTTTACTGTTATTTACTGGCGGTATATTGATGCTCGAGGTTTCAAAGTCATCAATCGCTGTAGTACTGGTGCGCTAGAGTATATGAGTATAATAAAAGTAAAATTGTATTGAATGATTACGCAGAATAAAACATGAAAATTTTTGTATAATTTTTACTAATGCCAAGTCCAGAAGATAACAAATCATTATGTTCACAAAGCACTTTGAATATCATTCTATACTTCTGTACTAGATATTAATATTATTAACGATTCCACTCGCTACTTACACGTATCGACCCACCAGCAATTTTCTTTAAAAATAGCATATCACCATGTTTCAAACAGGAGCCTATTTTTTGCGAATTACTAGAGTGTAACTGTACAGAGAAAATGCAATTAATGAAAAAAACATTGTTGTACAAACTATTTTTAACGTACCTCTGTAAGAAAGTTGCGCTCCTTAAAGAGTCCAAAGCCATCAACTTTAAGACTTTGATGCACCATTTCGAAGAGCTCCTTCAAGTTAGCTTTCGGTGATATTTCGATACGCTTTATGCCTTCAGCTGACTGCACGCGTATCAACTGAAAAAGAGAAAAAGTTATAATGAAAGATTTGTTAAAACGTTGTTTTTTGTTTAATTATTTTTTTCTCATGTGTATTGTGTATTTTTTATCTTCTGCACCTAGAACGTATTCTTTTTATTTCCATCTCTTTTGTTTTGCTAATTCATTCAGAAGCGCTTGCCAAAATTTCAAGATCAATGCAACAACTATGTAACTATTTCCGGAACGCTTGAATCGCACGTGTACACAAAATGATTGTATAAAAATAACCACTGATATCTCTATAGATATCCAAAATTTTTTCACTTATTTTTTATCCTTACCGACTGCTTAAATAGCAACATAAGCTTGTGACGCACAAAGGCGTACACTACGTTACGTTTACGATACAGCAGCGATTCCAATTCGCACATTGTCATTTTTAAACGAATTTAAATTTAAATTTTTATCAAAAATTTCGTAAAACACTGTTTTTTGTAATTTGATTAAAAAATTTTCCAATTCATTCTTCGCCAATTGTGGGAAAATTATCACGAAGAAGTACCTTGCTGGCACTAGAATATTATATGTTTAAATTTTGTGGCGGCACTTGTTGGCATTGCTAACGATTGCTGCTTACTGAGTGCATTTTCCGCAATTCACCGTCATTTTCTTGTCGTAAATAAACATGCTAGCAATGGCTTCTTAAACTTTTAAAAAATATCTCTTGATTGCGTTGCAATTAATTAATTACCAATTAGGTTTTCGCGCTTGGCAGAGAAGACTACATGATGACTAGTTAATATCTCAGTGTGTTGTTATAGCATTTTTATGCATAAATTTCATCAAATGTTATGAGGCAAATACTTTAAAGTCTGTATCCAACCTTTTCACAAATTTAATTTTTATTTTTTTTTATTTTTAAATATTTCATGTCAACCGCGCCGCCCTAACTACATTTTATGCGCAGATTTGAAAACGCGCGCCCTACCACCTACCACATACGAATTGGATAGTAAAGGATATGCACATACATATGTACACACATTCATGCTCGTAAACACGAAATTGTGGGTGGCAGTGTTATCAGGGGGCTGAATTGAAGCTAAAAGTTGGTGGGCAAACATTCATAGCAAACCGAATTTTGACAGTTCGTACACCGTTCTCGGCTTTACACAACAGTTTGCCAAAAAAAAAAATAATGTATTGCAATAGCCATCGAAGATGCTTCCCAGTTGTCCGACAGTCTGCCAGCCAACACGTTAAAATCGTTGATGTCTGTATGCATTCTCATTTGTAGTAAGTTTATTGCTACGGCGCGCATGTTTTTGTTGCTATAATTTTTTAGTTATACAAATAATGTGGAGGATGTATGAATTCGTGTTGTGCCGGCTTTTTTCTCTATTGACTTTTGGTTATTGTTGCCGGTATTAACCGGCTGCCGGTTGAAATAAATTTGGATATGCTTCTGGAACAACAGCTGACGAAACATTGGTGAGAATCAAGTAAATCCATTTAATCACTAAATCCACTGAATGTGTAATGTTATTCATGTTATTTGAGTATAAACGATATATGTTGCATACAACTATAATAGCCAAAGTGAAACTGCTATACTTTAACAGAACATCCAAATATGTCCAGCTTTCTTTATAGAATCCTTTAATTTTGCAAACATTTGACCATACTCAATTGAAAACAACTTAAAACATTACGAAAAAAAACAAGATCCAGAAATAGTTATTAAAACAAAACTTACGATTTTATCACCAACGCTGGGTTTTGACATTTTCACACACACAATTGGGTTCGATTATTTAGCTGAACTTCTCACTTCTTCTTCTGCAGTCGTCTTTTACCAATATCCCTATGACGTTTTTTCAAGAAACTTATACTGGCCCTCAAATGGCTCAGACAGGCGGACAGACAAAGAAGAGTTGCGGCACAATTAAAATTTATCAAAATTGCTTGAAAAAAATCGCAAATTCACGACCACGGACAAATGAAACTGTCATTTATTTTCTAGCTGTCAAACACAGTTTGTTTTCATTCAAGGGCTGCCAAGAGCCCAAACAGTACAAACTGGTGTGCGTGCGTCTTCGCTTACAACAAGTTTATGAGTACTCATCGCGATTTCCTTAACTCAATGGCACCAAAGAACGTATATTAATATAATATAATAATATACGTTCTTTGTTATAACCTATATATTAGCTGACCATTGTTAATGAGAGATATTTTGATATTTTTAGTTGTCTCGGCAATTCAACCTTTTAGGTTTGTGTCTATGCTTCAATTTGGCCTAGTTGTGGCTGATATCTTGCGTTGCCAACTATGAAGAGTATGAAATATACTTTTAAAAGTTTAAAATGTAGAAAAAAATTATTTCGTCGAATATTGTTAAATTAATTATTTTTTTATATGGGGTTAGTCGGAAACAAATCGAACGACATTCAATATATATATATATATATATATATATATATATATAAGAAAGCAGTTGCTTAACATTTTTTGTAGATAACCGATTAACATGAAAACATTAAAAATAAATCAATAATCTTTTTGTATGGGGAGAGGGACAAGAAAATAAAAAAATTTATATTAAAATTACTTTTCGCACGCAATTTTAATATCAAAAGAAACGCGACTTTCTTGACTATCTCATTAAAAGGCACATTTATACATACATATTTATGCTCTAAAGTGTAATTAAGGTCAACATTGAAATTTCGATACAGGTCAACTCTGTATTTTTATTTATTTTTTTTTTTTTAGCTTCCTATTTCTATTTCTTACCAATTTAATAATAGTTCTCAATTATAATTACTGTGAATGTTTAGTTAGGTTTGAGTATTTTAACTACTTCTTTTATAATATTTAATATTTATTAGAATAAGAGTGTCAGCCTGTCTGAAGCCTTGCTCTGTATTGAGCTTTTTTAGAGCTTAGCGTCCGTCTCTGCCATCATAATCGACTTGGAATTCGGTTAGGCGAGGCTGGGTTACTACGTGAGTATGCTCCGTTCTTGAAACCTTCTGTAAGCCGCCGCATTTTTTCACACAACTTTCGAGTATAAACTCTGTCGTCCAGCTTCTCAAGCTCTTCATAGTCATGAATTTTGGCATCTATACTTCTGCAGATAGGATAGATACCAAACCTACCCACTACAAGATGAAATATGCAAAACTCTTTCCCTTATATATTCTAGTAGATGGCCACCTACACATGCACAGACAGTCACCTTTGAGTTGTTAGAGTTTCCCCATTATTCTACGCCTTTCTGTGGCTTGAGGAAGACAAAGGGGACATTAACGCTTTTCATATGTCAAAGCCTAATGAAAATTAATGCTACCGCGTGTTATGTACAGTTATTTATGGCTAAAAACATAGAGTAGAAACAGAAACAAAAACCGATTAAATCAAATAGAATAACAATAGCAACAACTGACAGATGAGTGGGCGGGTCTTACTCTTGTTGGTGTTGTTGTGCTTGATTTTTGGCTGATGCTGACAAGTAGCTATGTGTTATACGTATGCACATCAATATTTTGATGATCCACATAAATTTTATGCTTTCATTTTTACATTCATTTGTTGTTGCACTTGCGCTTTCGTCCATTGCTTTAGGTTAAATCAGCATATTTGCGTTTATATCGCCAAAGTGTGACGTCTTCGAAGCAAAAGCACATAAAGTGGTGTTTAAGAGCATTTGCATACATACATACATATATACATATATACACTCGTACTTACATATGTATGTATGTATGCAGAAGTCTGCTCTCCCTCCTTAGCCTCAAGCAATAAAAGTGAAATATCAGTAAAAGCAACACATATTTTTGCTACTTACCGTTATCAGCGAATTTTTCGGCAACAGTTTGTTTGTGTTTTTTCTTTTTTTGGCGCCAACGAGATGTAAGAATAAAAAATAAGTTTTAGCAAAATCAGCGGAGGCATTGACATTGTCTGGAGGGAATTTGGCGGTGAGATGAAAGCATCACAGTTTGGTTTTGCCGCGTCGCCGTCAAGTACTGGACATTTGCACGCCGACACGACACCACAAAAATATCGCCACAAAGCTGAATCGTTGGCTTTCTTTCTAACGGATGATCCTAGTAGAATCCGTTCGACCTTCCCAAGCGACTTCGCTTCGCTCTATGGGCTGAAGTTCAGATTGCTTGCAAGTTCTAAGAAGCTCAGCCATTTTCGAGCCAACGTTTGTTCAGCGCTGAGGCCCATTTCTGACTCAATGGGTATGTAAACAAGCAAATTTTTGCATTTGGAACGCAGAGCAATCTGAAGAGATTCAAAAGCTGCCATTTTATCCAGAAGATATAACGGTTTTATTTGGTTTGTGGGCCAGTGGAGTCATCGGTCAATATTTCTTCAAAACTGATGCCATGGAGAACGTAACCGTCGATGGCGACAGTTACCGCGCCATAATAACCGACTCTGATGCCTGAATATGAAGCTTCCGATCTCGGGTACATTTGGTTCCAACAAGTCGACTCCCTTTCCCACACATCGCATCGATCAATGGATTTATTGAGAGAACACTACGGTGAGCAGTTAATTTCACCTTTTGGGCCAGTCGATTGGCCGTGGGGATATGTTAGGTATAAAGCCTATATAGACGATCCCACTTCGCCAGTTACCAGTCGCCAGTTATTTCAAAAAAGTTTTCAGGCAAGTCACCGTAGCTGGTCCGAATGAGTTCCATCTGGTTGTACTAATTTTCGACCACTTTTTTAAGCAAATGGCGCCGTATGTCCGTAATAGCGAACCGAAAATTCTCTTTCAAGGTGTCAATCATCTCGGGCTTATCATGCCTGTAACTTCACATGAACCCACAAAAAATAATCCAGCGTTATTGAGTCGAACGAACTTGGAGACAAGTTAACTGCTCATCAAAAGACTCCATCAATAAATTAATTGTTTTGTTCTAAAGGTCGTCCACAACAACATCCAATCCAATTCAGACAAGGGGCTGGCTCTATAGCGTTCTCCATAGATTTTAAGACGGCCATGAAGCTTCGCTGAACGGACACTGTATTAGTAAAACCACCCCAAGGAGCCCTTAATTCCCTTCGAGTACCACCCGATTAAAGAAGAGCTAAAATCAGAAAAGAAGTGCATAAGAAATTCGTGTCTTCAAGAGACCAAAGAACCCATAGTTGGCAAGTAATCTTACTCAGTGAAAGTGCCGTAAGCCCCCTTTGTCGTCTAACATTCTTAAAGCTGCTGACTATTTGCGGACGCCACTTTACAGAGGACCACAAAGCACTATCCATCTATTGTATATCGCTCTCAAGTCTTATGTATAAAGAAGGTAAGGAAATGGTGGCCGATGCTCTTTAATGTTGCCAAAAGCTGTTTATCGTAGCAGAGTATTTAAGGTTTTGGAATATTTCCAATGTATTGCGTGGCGCTAAACAACTCTGGAACAGCGTGAATTGAGGACAGTAACAGTATGGACTAGCACTAAGCAAAAGGAACTTGTTAAGCTTGATTCAGTTGAGCCCACTGAATTCACAGAAGAGGTCGGACCCCTAAGCGAAGTGTCCGGTCTTCGGCCGATTGAGAAGGTATATCTTTTAAGATGACCAAAGCTTCTATCTAATGGAAAATTGTTGGAAGAAAATG